ACTTCTTCGGATGCATCTGAAGAAGTGGGCAGTAGCCCACGAAAGCTTATGCTCTAATAAATTTGTTAGTCTCTAAGGTGCCACAAGTACTCCTGTTCTTTTTGCGGATACAGACTAACATGGCTGCTACTCTGAAACACCATTAAAAGCTTTTAAACCTCTTATTGAAGATACAGAAAAGAAGCGCTGGTGGGGATGGGGGTGGGGTGAAGGGGATGGGAGAAGGGCTTATTCAACTATTAAGTAAGGCTTTTATTTTAACTGACTTTTTGTTTCCATTTTTTAGCTGGAGAATTTTTAGAAGGAAAACCCCCTTGTCTGACAGTTTTTTAGATTGTATTAAAGCTGGTAATAGCTGTCCTTTTTGATGAAAAGAGAAGTTAGTTGAGCTGGGCGGGAGCTGTTATTGTGGCTGCTAAACTTGGATTCCATTTTCTAAAAAGACAAACACGCACAAAAGAGAAGAGAAAAGAATAGCAAAGTTAGAAAATGCACCTCTGTCTTTTTCTTGTTGACTGGTACATGTAAACTTACTGAGAAAACACAGGCACAGCATATTGTTTTGTTAGCAGGCTGTTTAGGTGGGCACTGTTTTTAGGTGTGCAGGCTCACAGCAGTGTTGCAAAATATATAGCTTTGGCCAGTTAAGTCCGACTCTTATTAAACAGAAAGCAAAAAGGAGAGAGATAGGAAAGAAAAGAAATAAGGAAGGAAAGGATGGGGGAGATAAAGTCTCAGAACCCAGATGGTGCTCAGGATTCAGCTGGAGCTAGAAGAGGTGGCAATGTCATCTGGGCTCCCCCCCCCCACCCTATTTTTTTGCCCAGGTTGGTCAGGACACTTCTTTGTATAGGATGATGAAGCCTGGGGTCCCAGGAGACAGTGGGGGTGGAAGCCATGATAGTGAAGCTAGCTCCAGAAGCCAATTTTTCCCCCAAAGTTTTTTTTAAATGACCATAAAAAGGAGAGAGAGATAGAATAGCCCATTTCCTTGCTGTTTTGTTACTAATTAGTCCTAATTTCTGACACACCAGTTTTTGTTTATACATTTTTGGTCCTTAGCTTTTTTTGTTCACCAGGCATGATTTTAACAGTCCTTGAGTGGTATTAGTGAAGCCCTTCTTGTTTAAATTAATTTAAATTTTTTGAGTTTCTTTACCTTTTTTGAAATAATTTTATATAATAGGTCATTGTGACAATTCATGCATCATTACCCACTTTTTACAGTTGAGCTCACAATTAGGGTAAACTTGTACGCCCAATTATTACAACAGGCCCAAAATTCAGAAGAAAATCTAGGTAGTTACTTAGCTTGGCAGGAAGGCAGTTTTTCACTCTAATCTACATGGAGGTGATATTAAGCTTACATTCAGACTGTATCAGATTTGAGTATTAATTTGTTTCCACTAGCACTTTTGTAATTCAGATTCTATGTGTATATTTGAATCCAAATTCAGAGCATAGTATTGACTTGGTTGTGATTATTTGGCAAGACTGTTTCTTGTTTCCTGCAGATTGAAGTAACGAAAACAGGGCTTCAAGCATCCCTGCTGGTGAAGGCTCCAGAGACAGGAGAATTATTTGTGAATTTTGACCCTCAGATATTGACTTTAATTCGGGAAACAGAGTGCATGGCTCACATGCACCTTGAAATCCCGCCTTTCGCCATTGCTCTACAGCAAAAGCAAGACTCATACAAGAAGAATTTCAATCAACTGCAGGTAGGTTTATTTTATTCGTTTAGATCTGCATAGAGCTATTGAAAGCTCCAATAATTTCATGAAAGATAAAAATACTATCTTATTTAAAGATTGAAAATGAACAAATTCAGACTACTATGCACCAGGAAAGTGATTAAGGTGGGAAAAGGACTTGACAGTTCACCTCCATCTTTTTCATGCAATTTTTTAGGTGCTACTATGACTTTGTTCTTAAACATAACCTCTAGGAGGCATGGCATTGTGGAAGGAAGGCACTGAGGTCTAGAAGTTTGGAGGGGTGGAAGCACTTCCTAAGTAATATAACCTTATTGCTGTATGAGTTCAGGCAAAACAGTTGACATTTCTCAAACACAACTGTGGTTCAGCTTTGAGCACAATCTGGGTAGGGGACAGCAGTGAGGCATGCCGACCCAGCAGTTGCCCCTAAAAGTATTGTACCTTGGATAGACACTTGGAAAGACTCCAGTAACTAGGCAGTGCAGCTGCTGCACCAGCATTACACTTGGTGTACTTTTTGGGCCTGCTGTGCTAGAAGATGTAGAGAGAAGATGGAGTTTTGGTTTCTCCCCTTGTCTCTTAATTTCCTTTTGGGAAGTTAGCTGCCATCAGCAGTGATACAAGCCAGCAGCAATCATTAGGCTCAAAAGAATGTGACCAAGGATGGAAGATGGCTGGTAGGGAAATCTCATGATTTTACTGCAAGCTCTTGGGTCAGGGATTCTCATTTTCTCTGGGTATGTCTACAGTGCAATAAAAGACCCATGCCATGACTGCAGCTGGCCTGGCTCACAGGGCTGAGAGGGGGAGGGTCTCAGAGCCCAGGCTCCAGCCCGAGCCTCAATGTTTACACTGCTATTTTTAGTCCTGCAGCCCGAGGCTGAGCTCTGAGACTCAATGCCATGGGTTTTTTATTAAAGTGTAGACATGCCCTTTTTGTATAGCACCTAGTCCTAACTGGAGTCTTTGTGTGCTACTGCAATACGAATATATAATATAAGCTTTTTGAACTCATCTCCTTCAGCTCACCCCCCTCTTGTTGCTCCTTTTCTTCATATGTGTAAGGGAATAATTATTTTCTCATACGGGCACTGTAATGATTGCTTGATGCTTTTGCAGTACTTTGAAGCTGTCAAATGTTTCATACTATGACAAATTTCAAAAAAATATTTTGAAACTTTATGGTTGGGTTGTGAGAGCCAGTTGTCACTAGAGCGCGAGTAAAGGGTTTCAGTAAAAAGCTTGTACCTAGACTGTTTTTATCTCCATCATTCTTCTAGAGACCCATTGGTCTGGCTCAGAGCAGAGAGGGTCAAAGCTGACTTTTAGCTACTGTTAATAGACTGGGTTTCAGGAGAGGAAGCAAGTCCTGGGGAAAGCTTCATTGGCTTAATATGCTTATTTCAAAGAATGATGCGGAGGTGCTCTGGTCCACTTCAAGAAAGAGCCCTGTGACTCTGCTGAGATGCCCGTATAATAAAATAGAGGAAAGGAGGCCTGTTTCTGACCATTCTTGTTTTGCCATGCTGAGAAACAGGAGAAGTCAGTGTTCTGGGTAATGCAGGAGCCCCTTTCTTGGAAATAGAGCTTGAGGGGAGTCATGTTTACACGGCTGAGAAGGAACTCTTGGCAAGTAAAACCTGTGGAGAGTTCAGGAAGAGGCCTATAGATTGGTTCGTACTCAAAACTTTTGGATTTCAAGAAACTCAAACAGATTAGGTCACTTATCAATTTAAACAACTGGTTTGGACTTATTACAAACCAGGGTGATTATAGAATACCATTTCTATCTTTGTCCTCCTTTATATATACATTTCAGTGGTGGGCAGTGGCATCTTGTCATGCTGTTGTGTGTGGTAAGATCACACAGTAGTGAAGCAAGTATATTTCAAACTAAATGTTTGTAGCCTCTGGATATCTTTATATCAGATTTCCAGGAATATTCATAGATTTGTTAAAAACATATTCTGCTAACTCCTTTTAAACTTAAAACTGCATCACCAGTTATCAGAATATCTTCATATGATGTCTTTTGACTGGGCTGTTAAAAGATGGCCTTTCTTTAAAAAATTAGGCTTTGGGTCTCAAAAATATTCAAAATTCTGACTACTAATTTACTTGTATTATCATTTAGGTCCCATGAAAAGGTATTGCAGAAAAAAGACTTTAGCACCAATATCAGATCCATATGTAGACTTGACCCCCTGATCCACCAAAACTAAACCTACTTCTTACAGTTTACCAACCTTTTTAGCATTTAATGTCCAAACTACTTAATACAGCAAACACTGATTTTTCAAAAAGGCTCCAGAGATAATCCTGGCAATTACAGCTTGTTAAACCTAACTTCAGTATCAGGCAAGTTGGTTGAAACTATAGTAAAGGACAGAATTATCAGATACATGGATGATGAACACAATATGTTGGGGAAGAGTCAACGTGGCTTTTGTAAAGGGAAATCATGCCTCACCTATCTATTAGGATTCCTTTAGAGTGTCAACAAGCATGTGCACAGGGTGATGCAGTGCATTTAGTGTACTTGGACTTTCAGATAGCCTTTGACAAAGTCCCTCAACAAAGGCTCTTAAGCAAAGTAAGGAGTCATGGGATAAGAGAGAAGGTCCTCTCAGGGATCAGTAACTGGATAAAAAGATGGGAAACAAAGGTAGGAATAAGTGGTAAGTTTTCACAATGGAGAGCGGTAAATAATGCGGCCTCCCAGGATCTGCCCTGGGACCTGTGCTGTTCAACATGTTCATAAATGATCTGGAAAAGGGAATGAAGAGTGAGGAGGCAAAATTTGCAGATGACACAAAATTATTCAAAATAGTTAAGTCCAAAGCTGACAATGAATAGTTACAAAGGGATCTCACCAGGGCTGGCTCCAGGCACCAGCCTGGCAAGCAGGTGCTTGGGGCGGCCACTCCGGAGGGGGGCGGCACGTCCAGCTATTCAGCGGCAATTCGGCGGACGGTCCCTCACTCCCGCTCGGAGCGAAGGACCTCCCGCCGAATTGCCGCCGCAGATCGCGATCGCGGCTTTTTTTTTTTTGGCTGCTTGGGGCGGCCAAAACCCTGGAGCCAGCCCTGGATCTCGCAAAACTGTGTGACTGGGAACAAAATGACAGATGAAATTCATTATTGATAAGTGCAAAGTAATGAGCATTGGAAAACATAATCTCCACTATATATACAAAATGATGGGTTTAAAACAGCTGTTACCACTCAAGAAAGAGATCTTGGAGTTGTTGTGGCTAGTTCTCTGAAGACATCTGCTCAATGTGCAGCAGCAGTCAAAAACAGTAACAGAATGTTAGGCACCATTAGGCAAGGGATAGATAATAAGAAAGAAAATATAATGCCATGATCTAAATCCATGATACACCCACACCGTGAATACTGCTTGCTGTACTGGTCACCCCATCTGTTGCAGTGTATGCACATCCCGTCCCCCTTTGGGGTGGATCGTGGGTGTGGTGGCACTGCAGTTACAGTCTACCAGACTGTCCTGGGATTCAAGATACTTTGGCTCAATGGCCAGAGTAAAAGTGGCTATGCTGGTGTTCAGGACTGCATGGCCTAGTGGTCCAAAACAAAGTGGTGGCCCTTGAGTGCCGGGCTGTGTGGCCTAGTGGCCAGAGTCAGGGGGTCGCCACCCAGGGGGGGGTGACACCTGGTGTAGGGGAACCTGGGCCCTCCCTGCTTCACTGGGTCCCTGCCCAGGGTCCTGCCAGTGGCAAGTGAGTCCACCACCCAGTCAGCAAGGATCCTACTGCAACACACTGACTCTGCTTTAAGGAGGTTACAACTCACTCGCTCCCCCTCCCTGGGACACTTCTTACCCTGTTTCCTGAAGTTGTGGTCTGTTTGATGTTGGGGTCTTTGGGTTCTTTGGTGCAGGTAATTCCCTAAGACTCTGACTGCAACTGGTTAGCTGTAGGCAACAGGTCTCCGGTCTGGTTCTTGGGATCTCCGGCTCCTGGAGGTAAGGGCTGTAGCGGCTCCTGGGCTGGAGCCTCCACCAAGCATCCTTCCTTTTTGGCAGTCATCCCAGACTGAGCTGAGCTGTTCTCCTTTATACTAGCATAGCAGTTGGAGCATGCCCAGCACGGTCTGAGGGTGGGATTAACCCTTTCTTGCTAGTGTGGGGTATGCACACCCTGTCACACCATCTCACAAAGGATGTATTAGAATTGGAAAAAGTACAGAGAAGGGCAACAAAATGATTAGGGATATGGAACAGCTTCCATATGAGGAGAGATTAAAAAGACTGGGACTGGTCAGCTTAGCAAAGAGATGACTGATGAAAGGATATGATACAGGTATATAAAATCATGAATAGTGTGGAGAAAGTGAATAAGGAAGTGTTATTAACCCCTTAGCATAACACAAGAACTAGGGGTCACCCAAGGAAATTAATAGGCAGCAGATTTAAAGGAAGGAAGTTTTTCTTCACACAGTGCTCAGTCAACCCGTGGAACTCATTGTCAGGAAATGTAGTGAAAGGCAAAAGTATAACTGGGATAAAAAAAGAATTAGATAAGTTCATGAAGGATAGGTACATCAATGGCTATTAGCCCAGATGGTCAGAGATGCAGCCCCATGCTCCGGGTGTCTATAAACTTCTGGCTGCCAGAAGCTGGGGCTAGATCACATGTCCAAATTGCTCTGTTCTATTGATTCCCTCTGAAACATCTGGCACTGACCACTGCTGAAAGACAGGATACTCGATTAGATGGACCATTGGTCTGACTCAGGATATCCATTGGTATGGTGATGTTAAACTGTTCCTCTGCATTAGAATGCTGCACCCATCCACACTTGGCTGCAGCATCTCGGCCTGAGACCAAAAACTGAAAAAAGCAACCTTAAATTTTGGATGCCCAGCTTGAGTCATCTGAGACCTAATATTTCACAGGTGTGGATCCACTTGGCACTACAATTGCTTAGGTTAGTTTGCAGATACTCACTCATCTGTGGAAAAATTAGGCTTTAGGAGAGTTAAGGTGGGTACCCAAAGCTAAAGGGTGCCTTTTAGAACTTGTCCCTAGGTGGTGTACTGGACTTATATCCTGTCATTGTACTAAGTGGCACTGTTGGAAGTGCTGTCTACTAGATTAAATGTAAGAGGCCCTGATCAATATGTTCAATATAACATTTTGTTTTCAGCAAGGATGTTAATTTGGTTATCCTAGCCGAATTCTAATTCTGATTAGACGGTGACACTGAGGTCCCCTCAAAGTTTCATTTACGTTAGTTCTTCTCTTCCCATTGCTCCAATTATGTTGTGCAGTAGTGGTAGTGCATTTCAGTGATCAAGTGTTCGTGGTATTTTTTGTAGGACACTTTAGGATTCTTAAGGATTAGTAGGGTCATTAAATATACAGAGTTAAAGCCAATGTGAAAAGAATCAAGTGTTTCATTGTTTCCAAAATACTTTTTTATAAAATGGAAAATAATAAAAACCTGACTTTTCATGAAGCGTGGAACTTTGTTTTTAATGAAACTAGATGCAAATATCAGCATAGCGAAAGGTTTGCATTGTGCTTGTTAATTAGTGTTATTACCCTCCATTTATTTCAGATGATGCTGGCAGAATATAAGAGAATTAAATCAAAAATACAAACACCCATTGATCAACTAATGGCTCCTCACTTAGCTAATGTAGATGATGCTATTCAGCCTGGTTTAACTTCACTAAACTGGACCTCCTTGAACACTGAGAAATACATAAATAATATTTTTGACAAACTAGGTAAGCATGCTTGTAGCGAATCAGCATTCTTCCACTAAACTCTGAGTTGTTTGCTTCAATCCAGATATACAGTCCAATGTTGAGTGCAACATTCATTTTTATCATACAAATTATACTGTTGCATAAATTAAAACACCAAAATTCTCACCCGTAATGTACTGTAATGTTTATTCACCCCTGGGAGCCAAATTCTGAGCTGCCTTAAATTCAGTTCAATCTCACTGACTTCCCTGGGATCTCAGTGGGGCTGTCTGGGGTATACACCAATTTTACTTCCATGTGTACATGCCTGCAGCATGCCAATACTTGAAGAAAATAGGAGGGAAAGGGGAAAACTCTATCAAACTTCACAATTGTGATATTCTCCTCCACTTCCCCAGCAGCTACCACATATCAATCTCTACCTTGTCTGGGCTTCTCTGCACCTTTACGTAAAGGTCCTCTTATGTTGTCACTGAACAACTTCTTATCTTACTGAATTAGCATTTTTTTCTAAAACGCTTGTAAATCCACTAATACATAAGCTGCCATCCAGGGCACCAGTGCCTTTTGAATTTTTAGCATGTGCTGTCATACTGGTACAAGCAAAAATAAACTCCACAGGCCTCACAAAACTAAAAAAAAACAAAACTGAAAAGAGAATATAAATAACATTGTATGGGATGCACCTTCGTCTGCAACAGCCTGGGAGAAGAGATGGGTTTTGTAGCCTGTCCCAAAGGTCAAGAGATCTGGCTTACTTCAGATCCATGTAGTGCCAAAGATACCTACATCCCACCCAAAAGTTCCTTCATCTCTAATAACTAAGTTTACTTATATCAGAAAAAAATACAGGAAATGGCGCTTAACATGACTCACAAAGTGAATCCTGCAACATTAAGTTACCTATCCATAAATGACCTGGGTCCCTGATTGTGGGTGTTTGTCACATATTGTACTCCACCGTTAATTCATGTCAGATCCAGGTATGCTGAGCTTGAGCAGTCACTTAAACTCTCTCAACCGAAACATCTAGAAGGAAAAAAAAATGGTGCGGATAATGCTTGCGAGCGTCTTTGAAGTTAAAAAATGTTATTTAAGGGCAGGGTGGTATACCTTGTCAAAATGTTTTAATATTAGTTTGGCTATATGGACGGTCAGTAAATTAATCTGTATAAAGGAAAAAACTTTGTTGCTTCTTGCCCCTCATAAGTGGCAAATTTCTTAATTGCAAATTCTGAGTTTTTGAGTACTAGGTAGTGTTATTATATGATGAAACTGGGGCCAGATTTTGCTGCACATTGTCTGTTGCACACATGCTAAAATGGTAGTTCTTAGAAAAACTTTATTTCATGAATTCATAAACCTTACTCCTTAAGTCATAACACTTAAAATGAAAGAAAATTTGATGTAATCTAATGTGATCAGTCCAAATATATCAGCATGTTGAGGACAAAAGCATGAGAAAGGAATTGGGGGGGGGGCTTTATAACAACTACCATCTCCTCCCTTTGAACCTCTTTTGGATTTTTTTTTTGCATGATCTTTTGTTTGGAAAGCTGAGCTGGAGCTGCTGCTTGATCGACTGAATGATCTGATAGAATTTCGTATTGATGCTGTTCTACAAGAAATGAGCAGTGTGCCGCTTTGTGAACTGCCAGAAGATGAACCGCTTACCTGTGAGGAATTTCTCCAGATGACTAAGGTTATGAGACTTACTCTTCTAAAAATATGTTTAGTTACTCTACATTGAAGTATGTGCTTGCTGAGTGAGTATGACATGCTTTTCATTAGACATGAACACTGCACTAATGATTTAAATTACTGAAGTAATTTGATAATGAGAATGACTAAAAATGTCCCAGTTCTCTGAGAGTGACATGTTTAAAATGCACAAATGTTTCAGTTATGAGGTGGCTTGTTGAGCTTCCAGTGTCAGACAGGCTATGGTAGTTACTCCTTGTCCTGTTTTACACCAATGAACTTAATTTGAAGAGCTTCCATTCACCCTTTTTCCTCTCACTGTCTTAGAGGTCTGACACTTGTCATGACATGGTTTCTGTGAAGCAAGAAGGGCTGGAGTTGCCTGTGAACATGCTTTGGCTGACCGGAGGGGTCAGCTCTCAACTGCCCTTGAGAGTAGTACTATGGAGATGGTTGGGAATTTGCATTTTTTTTTATCCCCATGGCCTCTTGAGCTGATCTGGATAGGGGCCAGTGCACAGGCAAACCCTATCCCTGAGACATTGCAAAAGAGTAGGTCCTTGGAAAGACTTCATTCCCCACAGAAGGGTATGAGTTAACCCAATCATATTCAAGTTTTTAGTTTTCACATGTAATAGGCAAGTGAAAACAAGTATTGCTGGTTAAATCACAGTGAATTCTGGAATGAGGTGTTAGAATTACTTACAGAATTTAAAATTGCAAACAAAGAACAAATTAATTTTTAACTGACGTTCCATGGGCTTTCAGTTCCAGGGTTTCTCTTAAAACAACTAACCGAATTATTTAACCGTCCTCATTGAGCTAGTTCTTATATCCATAAGTAGTTGCAGTGATGTCATGTGACTACTCACGTAAGTGTTAGCATGGTCAGATTTCCATGATTCTTAAAGCAGTAAGATACAGCAAGCAAGGCATTTCTAGGCAATTGTGTAATATAATTTCCATGAAAGACCCTCTAAGAAGTAATCATACCTGAATGCTCTCCCTTCAGTGTAGTTAGGATGTAACCTATTGGTGGCGGGAGGGTAGTTTAAAGCCCCCAATGCATGCAGTGGTCAGTGATACAAAGGTAATGGGCATCCATAATCTGTACATTTGAAATATTGTGGATACAACTATAATTTGGATTTAGATAGCTAGCAGTAAGTGGGAAAACAGATAAGAATGTGTCTAGGGCTGGATAAAGAATTGGAGTGCTGCTGTGGTAACCCTAAATATGGGGACTCTAGTAGGTACATTGATGCAAATACACCTGTAGTAGTGAAAACAGTCCTGAATGAATAAATTCTAAACAGGAGCAAGTGGCAAAGTAAGGACTTGTCTAAACTGAAAAGTTGAACCATACCATTAACTATACCAGCATAATGAGTGATACAACTCTGTGTTGTGGATGCAGTTGAACTGGGATAAAGGTGCATTACACTGTTCTAGTTTATTCCCATAAGGGAAAGAAAATAAGCTTTGCCTTTATACTGGAATAACTGCATCCCCCCTAGGGGTTGTGCTGGCATAATTTACTGGGTTTAAAAAAAAAATCACAACCTTAATTTAATGGTTGCACTGGAACAAAAATGTGCAGACCAAGCCTAAGTCACAATTGGAAGTGATCTTGATTATTGGAAACATAGTATATTACATGTATTAGAACATTAAAATGTGCTAAAGGAAAATCTTTCCAGTTATTGATTATATTGAACTAGAATACCTGTTTGTGTGAAACTTCTCAGTGGACTATGAGGTGAAGCCATCGGCCTCCAGTGCACCCAAGAAAGGAGACCATCAGCCTTACTGTGTAGCGAGGAGTGTCCTAGTACAGTTATAACACATGTAGCAAAAATAAAAGTTTTAGAGCTGACCTCTTAAAGATGGATTTTGATTTTTGACACTCTACTGACAATGGGGAGACGTGTTATAGGTGCAGTCAATTGCAGATACCTGTAGCAGAGAAGACTAACCTTCTTGATAGATATCTTGATACTTTAGACATCAGGTTACTGATTAGAAAATCAGAATGGAAAGACATCTCATCGAAAATTATTGAAGCCCTCTATCTCATGTGCTGCTTCAGTGCTTCTGCAAAGCTGCACCCACTATTGATCACAGGTCCAAAATCAGAGGCTGAATTGAAATGTTCTGAAATAGTTCCACTATATAAAATAACATGATTTCTATTAAAAGTCAAAACTTTTTGTCAATCAGTTAAACTTGTAAAAAAATTTTCAGTTTCTCAATTTTAAATTCTGGAGCTCTTCCTCACTTTTTTTCCATGGGAAATTAATAGAAGCGAAAAGGTGGGAACTTCCCCATATTTTTCAATTTAAAATTAAACTTTCTGTTTTGAACACTTTTGACCAGCCCTAATGAAATTACACTAAGAATAGATATGTAACTGCTCTGTGTTAATATTTTGTCCTCTTCCCATACTTTCTGTTAACTATTTCACTTTAATCACTGTTGCTCTAAAAAAGTTTTGGTATCCCGCCTGCCAATCTTAACCATGAATGCAGCGCTCACCAGTATTTCCCTTGTGACCTGATGAAAGAATAACATGGAATTGATTAATGCTCCATCTGGACTGGCTAACTGATTCAAAATTGGAGAGTGTTTTTTTTTTAAAAGAAAACAAAACAAAGCAAAACAAATTTGCTGATATAAATGTGACAGGCTGGATTATGCAGCTTCTTCCCTTTCTCTGTAGCGTTCCTTATGAAAACTTAATAGTTTGGTGCAAATGCTGAGCAAAGTCATGTGACTCATTAAACTAAACAAAATGACCTTGAAAAACACTATTGTTGAGAAAGCCTGATCGTGCCAGACTTGCTATTGCTAACATAATCGTTCAAAATCATGAATTAGGCCCCTTCCCAAAAATCAAGATATTTTTAAAAGTAAATTTTGGCTGTCTATGTGTCTTCTGATTTTTTTGAGCTTTTAAATTAATTAAACCTAGAAAGTGTTTTTTTTTAATAAAAGCTGAGATTCTCATGCAGTACCAGATTCCGGCGCTTTAAGAAAAACAAATATCAAAATAATCATGAGATTGCTTCAGTTCATGACACTGCACACTTGATCAACTTACATACCTTATTCCATGTCTAGCCTTATTGATGGTAGTGGAATTACTTATAGGATAATGTACCACTCAAAGTTTTGTGTGCCAGCAAAGACTAAAAAAAAAATCAGACTCAACAGTATTTGCTGTATTTATTGATAGGAGCTCTGTGTTCAAGGTGCACATACTTTGCATTTGAAAAGCTCATTGGTGGAAGAAGCAGCCAATGAGCTGATAAACATGTTATTGGACACAGAGGTGCATTCCAAAGGAGAAAATGAGAAGTCAATTCTGCGTCCAGTCAATGCTGAAACGAGTGAGGTGAATGAAAGTACAGGTAAGAGGAAACACTTCAAAAGCAAAAAGAACAGGAGTACTTGTGGCACCTTAGAGACTAACAAATTTGTTTGAGCATAAGCTTTCATGGGCTACAGCCCACTTCTTCGGATGCAAAAGCAGTTGTCTTTGCTTCACACTTAGTTGTCTGTACATGTAGATAAAATATGCTGGGGGCCCAGAGGGCTAATAGTGAATTTGATACTTAGAGACTTTCACACCTACAGATTACAGGCTTGAATCTAGTTTAGAGTGACTGAAAGGTGATACGAAACCTTTCAGCTGCTTTCCTTATGTGAAGTAGGCTAGTGACATCAATCCAACCTGCACAGCCAAGTGTCCATGTCACAGAAGCTAGCAGTGATAGGCATTATTTGGCCACCACATTTCATAGAGAAAGGACAAGGCTTGACTGGATAGGCAAAAAGATGTATCTTCACATTCCCAGAGGTAAATCTACTAGGTCTGTATTGAATATAGAATCTAGTCTTCAGGTCACTGTAAAATGCAAAGTGATTTACCCATGGGCAAGACATTATGGACATCCACTCACTTACACGTCTTTATAAAGATGGTATTAAAAATTGTTAATTTCCAGACATGTAATTGTATTCCTCTTTCTCTCCATAGTTTATTAAATTATGTTATAAATTACTATAATTTTACTGATTTGCTTTTAACAATAGAGGAGGAAGGGAGAAAGGAGAAACTGGCAACCTCTCATACAGCAAGTCAGATTATGGCTGGGATGTCTCCTCCTTTAACAAAGAAGAAGAGAAAGGAGATGGAAATGTTAGAGGAAGAAGCCCAAGAACTGCTTACCCACTTCAATCACCGCAATATTGATGCCCTTTTGAAGGTCACTCGGAACACTCTGGAGACCATACGCAAGCGCATTCATGCCTCTTCTGCGATCAACTTCTTAGGTAGCCATAGGTTCTATTACTTTACATTTTAATTAGTGTGCTGAAAAAAACAATTAGACATGGTATCCTAATATCATGCTAACCCAAGGCCAGATCTTCAAAGGAGGGTGGAATAGGTGAGCAAGCAATTTTGTGGGCTGGCTTGTTACACCACAGTTGCCTGCGTTGTACGTTTCCGAGGGAATTTTCCCCATAAGATGAATCCCCAGCTACTGGTGGGTTATGTTTATTATGGCAAAATTAAATATAAGTATTTTGGGGCCAGATGTATGTAAGTAGGTGTAGCCTTGTGTGTGCATAGGGTGACCAGACTTTGTAACTGAAAATCTGGGACACTGTAACCTGTTGGGTCTTGAAGTTTATATAGAGAGGTTTTGGCACTACAGGTATCAACTCCCTCTGCTTCTTAGCTGACAAGCAGCCACAGACAAACACAGGTCTTTTAGGACTTGTTCATATATCATGAGAGTGGACACAAATCCAGTTTATTTTCTTGGCAGCCCACCTTTAAAGACATAAATAAAATTAGAGGCTTCCATCTTTCATCTAAGTTGCATCTGCAATTTTGTGCAACACAATATTTGAGAATTCAAAAATTCATATCTTATTTAAGGTCGTGCGGGGGAGAGGGGGTGGCACTATATGTGAAAGAAAATGTAGAATCAAATGAAGTAAAAATCTTAAGTGAATCCACATGTT